GCTCACTGCAACCTCCGCCTCCTGGGTTCAGGCAATTCTCCTGCCTCAGCCTCCTGAGTAGCTGGGACTACAGGCACGCGCCACCATGCCCAGCTAATTTTTTGTAGTTTTAGTAGAGACAGGGTTTCACCATGTTGACCAGGATGGTCTTGATCTCTTGACCTTGTGATCCACCCACCTCGGCCTTCCAAAGTGCTGAGATTACAGGCTTGAGCCACCGCGCCCGGCCTAACTTTTTTTGTACTTTTAATAGAGACAGAGTTTCGCCATGTTGGCCAGGCTGGTCTTGAACTCCTGACCTCAGGTGATCCACCCACCTCGACCCCCAAAGTGCTGGGATTACAGGCATGAACCACCGCGCCTGGCCACAGTTCTCCTACTTAACGAGGAGGTAGTGGTGGTCAGCTGTGTGAAATGTTGCTGGTAGAAGAGGCTGAAAATGGATTGCTCTGGTTATCCCCATTGCTAGTGACTTTCAAATTGCTAAGGGCAGTTTTGGTGCAATAGCTGAGATATGGAGTGGGTGTAAGACAGAGTGGGAGGAAGGAACTAGACCCAGTAGATTCAGACATCAAAATTTGAATATAAGCGCCTGGCATGAGGACATTTAAGAAATTTGACATTAGGCCAGGTGTGGTGGCTCACCCCTGTAATTCCAGCCCTTTCAGAGGCTGAGGTGGGCAGATCACCTGAGGTCAAGAGTTCAAGAGCAACCTGGCCAACATGGCAAAACCCCATCTCTACTGAGAATACAAAAATTAGCAGGGTGTGGTGGTGGACGCCTAGAAAGAAAGAAAGAAAGAAAGAAAGAAAAAAAGAAAGAAAGGGAGGGGGTGGAGAGAGAGAGAGGATGGAGGGATTTGACATTACATTAAATCTTAGGATCTGAGATTGTACCATGAGATTTGACATATTCAGTAAAATTTTTCTTTTAAAATGAATGTGATTTGAGATACTCATGATTAATCTTTTTAGGTGGCAATTCTCGTACTGCAATGGTTGCTGCTCTGAGCCCTGCAGATATCAACTACGATGAGACTTTGAGCACTCTGAGGTACTTTCTTTTTATCTCAGTAGCAACATACACCACGTTGCCATCAGAAGTCATTTTGTGATACTGTGGATGTTCTTATGCGGTCTGGGTAGTTATTTATGTAAATAATGATCCTTTACTCTCATAACAGGGAAAACTTAGGGTAAAAGTGATTTGCATTAAAATAGAATTTACCTCTATGGTTTTCAGTTTCATTGGGAAAGGTACGAACTTTTTACTTATTTTTTAATCCCCCATGAATATCTAGATAAGGCAGGAACTTTTTCATAGGAAAGATTTTTAAATTGCTCAAGTGGGATTTTTGGGTAACTTCTTAGATAATAGTGACATTTTCTTATAATATTCATTTCTGTAAAAAGAAATGGCCTCCCTTCTTGTGGTGTTTGTCATAGAAATGCTGAAGTCGGCTGGGCGCGATAGCTCAGTCCTGTAATCCCAGCACTTTGGGAGGCCAAGGTTGGTGGATCACTTGAGGTCAGGAGTTTGAGACCAGCCTGGCCAACATGGTGAAACCCTGTCTCTACTAAAAATACAAAAATTAGCCTGTCGTGGTGGTGTGTGCCTGTAATCCCAGCTACTCGGGAGGCTGAGGCAGGAGAATCACTTGAGCCCAGGAGGCAGAGGTTGCAATGGGCCAAGATTGCACCACTGCACTCCAGCCTGGAGACAGAGCGAGACTCCGTCTCAAATAAAATGAAAGAAAAAAAAAAAAGAAATGCTGAAGTCATAATAAGTAATAAAATTATAGGAGTATGTGGCAGTGTTAAAAATAACCAACATAGCCAGGTGCAGTGGTGTACACCTATAGTCCCAGCTACTTGGAAAGCTGAGGCAGGAGAATCACTTGAGCATAGGAGTTTGAGGCCAGCCGAGGCAACATAGTGAGACTCTGTCTCTTAAAAAAAAGAAAAAAAAAAAAACAATTGACAGAATGTTCATGGCAAGTTTTTGTTTGTTTGTTTGTTTTGGTTTTCGAGATGGAGTTTTGGTGTGTGGCCCAAGCTAGAGTGCAGTGGCAAGATTATAGCTCACTGCAGCCTCAGACACCTGGGCTCATGTGATCCTCCTACTTCAGCCTCCCAAGTAGCTAAAACTACAGACTCATGCCACTAGGCCTGGCTAATTTTTAAAAATTTCTTGTAGAGGTTGGGGGTCCTGTTACGTTACTCAGGCTGGTTTCAAATTCCTAGCTTCAAGTGATCCTCCCCACTTGGCCTCCTAAAGTGCTGGGATTACAGGTGTGAGCTACCTCGTGAGGCCTATTTTTTACATATGAATAGGTTTCACTATTTTAGTCTGGAACTCTTTGCCTTTCTTCCAGGAAAGGTACTTGATATAATGGAATGAACACTATATAGTCTCATAAATTGAGTTTAAGTCCTCTTGCTGTTATTTATTTTCATTGTGATCCTGGGCAGATCACTTAAATTCATCTGAACCTTTTTCTTCATCTTTAATAGGTACCATAAAGCTTTATACAAATGTATTCTTATCAAGACTCAAAAAATGTAAATACTCAGGATATTTGATTTAGAAATAATAGTATGTTACTTATGAGAAGTAGAACATATGAGAAATGACAAGAATGAACTTTTTTGATCTAGATATGCAGATCGTGCAAAACAAATTAAATGTAATGCTGTTATCAATGAGGACCCCAATGCCAAACTAGTTCGTGAATTAAAGGAGGAGGTGACACGGCTGAAGGACCTTCTTCGTGCTCAGGGCCTGGGAGATATTATTGATAGTAAGTGAATTAAGGATCATTACAAAATCTAATCCTTTCTTCTTCAAGGCTCTTACATTTAAAATAAACTTCAAGTTAAGGAACATGATGAAGCTAAATGGTAGTGAAAATGTTTTTGTTTTTCTTTTTCCTTAAAAAGCCCAATGGAAATGATCTCTAGAATCCTTTATGTAGTGTGTACCCGGCTATCCATTTGAACTCATGAAATTAGTTTTAAAATCATGAATATGTTACTAGTATTTTTGTTAGAATTCTCTTTTAGATCAGCAGTGAAGTTTATTTGGAATGTTAAACCTGTCACTGAGCAATTAATCACTTCATAGAAATGTTATTTGAAATTTTTGGTTTTGTTTCGTGGGTTACTCTGGATTAGTATAGTGGCAGTAATATAAGAAATGCATATGGAGGCCTACCTTCAGATAAGATTCACCTTTGAACGGCCGCCTCCTCCTATAAAATGATGGAGTGCCCCCTGCTGCCTATGAACATATGAAGGGGAAAACTTCAATTCCTATGAAGTTCAAGAACTACCTTTCCAGAGAATATTGTTTTATGATGTTGTATTAAAATTCATCTTTAAAAATCTCCATGATGTGCCTGTACAGTGGTTTATTCAGAAGTTCTCTTAAGTGAGTAAAATGGATTATTTATATAGGAATAGAATATGGTAGAATATGGGTTGGTTTAGTAAAGCTTTTTTTTTTTTTTTTTTTTTTGAGTGTAAAATTAGTATTATATTCCTTGAAGTTCTAATAAGATTTTCAAGGCCTTTTCTAGTTTAGTTCTTACTGATTAGAGCCTGAGTTTAGATGAATACCGTTTGTGAAAATGATACCATATTCTGAGTATTAACTTTTTCATCTCCCCAAATGCCAAAAACTGCTCTGTTCGCTCTCTGTGTCACTGCTGAACCTGAACTTTGACCCTTCTCATATTTTCCCTCCTGCTTACCTTCAGTTGATCCATTGATCGATGATTACTCTGGAAGTGGAAGCAAATGTGTGTATTTCACATATTGGTTATTTCCAGTACTCTGACTTGCTAATCTGCCTCTGCTGGATCAGGCTTAAAATGCGCTTTGCATGCCAGCAATCCTTACAGGGAAATCCCAGACAGAGCATCATGTAGAATCAGAAATGATCCTATTTTTGCCCTTCTTCCTTTAGCAAACTAATCTTTGCTGAATTTTAGTTTGTGGCTTGAGTGAAGTTGAAAGGCTTAAGAGTCTCTTGCTGCTTCTACTCTTCTGTTTTTCCCATTGTGATTAAATTAAATCCAAAATAATAGATAATGACAGCAACTGATACTTACTGATTATTCATAATATGCCAGGCCCTATTCTGGGCACCTTGAATATATTATCTCTTATTTCTGTTAATGACTCTGAAAACATTTCATTACGTTTATTTTACCAATAATTTTCAGTCAACAAAAAATATCTGTGATTGAAGAGCTCTGTAAATGTTGGGCTAACACTCATGGGTGTTTGTGCTTTGGATGGTTAAACATTTTTTCCTCTTTTTTTTTTTTTTTTTTTTATGATGGTCTCTGTCACCTGCACTGGAGTGTTATGGCATGATCATGGCTCACTGCAGCCGGGAACTCTTGGGCTCAAGTGATCTTTTTGCCCAGCCTCCTCAGTATCTGAGACTATAGTTGTGTGCTGCCACACCTGGCTAATTTTTTATTTTATTTTATTTTTATTTTTATTTTTTTGAGACAGAGTCTCGCTGGAGTGCAGTGGCACTATCTTGGCTCACTGTAACCTCCACCTCCTAGGTTCAAGCAATTCTCCTGCCTCAGCCTTCTGAGTAGCTGGGACTGCAGGCATGCATGACCACACCCAGTTAATTTTTGTATTTTTTTTAGTAGAGACAGGGTTTCACCACATTGGCCAGGATGGTCTCAATCTCTTGACCTCGTGATCCGACCACCTCGGCCTCCCAAAGTGCTGGGATTACAGGCATGAGCCACCACACCTGGCCTATTTTTTAATTTTTACTTTGTAGAGATGAGGAGTCTCACCGGTTTCCCAGGTAGAACTCCTGGCCTGGAACTCCTGGCCTCAAATAGTCCTCCTGCTTTGGCTTACCAAAGTGCCAAGATTACAGATGTGAGCCACCACACCCAGCCTTTCCTCTTTTCATAAGTCACAAATTAAAATAACTTAGGTATCTAAAATGGGTGCTTGAGAACATTTTTAAAGGATCACGTGAACCTCATTATTCTCTCCATATATATCATAAGTTGGTGAGGAAATTATTTCTTACCCTTTTAAGGTAATTCATCAAAAAATTGTTATCTTAGAAGAAAAAATCTTGATTTTGGGGTTAATTTTTAGATTTATACTGAGTTATTTCTACAGTTAAGGCATGTATTGAGGCTTAGCAGACATTGAGAAAATGCATAGGAGAAACCAAACATAGCCCTGGTTGTTATGAGGTTAGGGCTTGAAGGCACTATAATGTCTTGATAACAGAAGTGACTCTTGGACTGCAGCAGCTCTGTCTGAGATTTCCAAAGCTCAGCGATACTGGTGTGGAAAAGGTGCCTTCTTGGTTTTGCTTTTGTGCTCAAGGTGTTGCTGCTGCCAGCTTGTTGCCTACCTCTCTTAGCAGCTGCAGTGTTTCCTGAAAGACCATGCATGACTAAGTTTTAATTCTGTATTGGTAAGAGAAAGCAGCCCTGACTACTCAATTTCCATTTTGATCCATTTCTCTTAATTCCTTTTAGGCCTTGCATGTGACCATTGGACCTAAACTCTGTCCACCCTGGTCTTTTCCCCCTGGTGCCTAATTTTTTGCTCTAATCCCCATTCCCCTTTTGAAAGATGCTGTTTTGCTTGTTTCCCTATGCTCTGTATTTGCAGATGGTGGTTTTCAAACTGTCTGGAGGCAACCAGTGGCTTTCAGGGAGTTAAAAAATTGGCTTTAATTTAATAGTAGAGATGAGTAGGCCCAGAGAGAATTAATAGTGTTTTTTCCAACTATGTATATTGACTCATCTCCTTTAAGGAAACTTACTTAGTTTTGATATGAATTTTAATTTCTCAGATTTAAAAATGAGCTAAATTTAAAGTTGGATTGCACCAATACTTATGGTTTACTTTTAGTGTCTTTTTGCGAAGGATGACTAATGAAAGAAGGTACAAATGGCAAATTAATGAATTTTGTTGTTTGTGGCTTAATTTTTTTTTCTTTTACCAATACTGAGTTTAAAAGCAAAATTAACAGTTCTGTTAGAGACTTAGTAAATAGAAGTATGTTCCTAAAACTTGCTTTTTATACTAGGAAGCAGGCTTACCAGTGACCCGTGGTTGTACTGTTAGGCTAATTAAGTGCCTTACTTAAATTAGCAAAAAAAATCAGCCTTATTTTTTGCTTGCTCTGATAGAAGAATGGAACCTACACTAAAACTCATTAATCTGCTAATTGTTCTTCCCTGTTGAGACAATCAGTTAGTCCTGAGTTTTTTGTTTTTTTTTTTCATAGCAAGTCCTGAATTTTTAACCATGACTCAAAAAAACTCCTCTCACTTCTACAATTACCTCTTTTTAAATTTAAGACATATTTAAAAATCCTTTTAGCATGTTGAAATACCATACAAGGTAGGGCGCGGTGACTCACGCCTGTAATCCCAGTACTTTGGGAGGCCGAGGTGGGCGGATCACCTGAGGTCAGGAGTTTGAGACCAGCCTGGCCAACATGGAGAGACCCTATCTCTTAAATAAATAAATAAATAGAAATGTTGCCATACAAAGCGAACTACTAAATGCACACATTTTTAACTGTAACATTTTCTTGGAAATTTTTGCTGAATTACGTAAAACACTGAGCCAGACCAGTATGGATTATTATTGATAAATAAATGATCACTGTTTTCCCCTTACTGTTACAAACTACTGGAAAAGTGTAAATCTGAAGACATTGTAGACTTGGAACACTAGAGAGACTAAATGGAAGGTAGTTTGGCTTTTTTAGGGAGAGTACCAAAGCAGTATCCTTTGAGGCTCTAGTTTATCCCCCTACAAGATACAGTGTTAACCTACATTGAAATCTTTTTGTTTGTAAATGCAGAAATGATTCGGAGCCTCTCAGATACCAGTATTCAAGACAGACATGTTTTAGAACTGCCATCTAGAACAGTTGTAACCTGTGTTTGTATCATAGCGTGTCTTTGTCTTGGCGCTTTAATGCTGTCCTTTCTTACAATGATATTCCTTCCTGTCTTTTTTTCTTCCTTTGCTTCTTTCCCTTTTCTCTACTTTTTCTGCCTTCTATCTCCCAGATCTGAAAGATTTTCAGAACAATAAGCATAGGTACTTGCTAGCCTCTGAGAATCAACGCCCTGGCCATTTTTCCACAGCATCCATGGGGTCCCTCACTTCATCCCCATCTTCCTGCTCACTCAGTAGTCAGGTGGGCTTGACGTCTGTGACCAGTATTCAAGAGAGGATCATGTCTACACCTGGAGGAGAGGAAGCTATTGAACGTCTAAAGGTAAGTAATAGTTCAGACTGAATATAAGGTATTCTATATAGTAGTTCCACAAAGAACTAGAAGTAAAAATCACTAAGATTTCGACTCAGCATATGGAGAACTCTTGACTCTTAGAGGTGTCCTGAAAATTGAATTTTCTACTTTGTAAGTTAATTTCTTTTCACTAGAGTGCTTGAGTCTGACATGGCCAGGCAGAGATGGGAGATGGTAGGAGGTACATGGGTAGTACATAGGCTGGCCATGCAGAGTAACCAATTAATAGATGTGAACATTAATTCTGGGGAGGTTTATCAAGTCACAGTAAAATTGTTTTGTTAGAAATTTATTTGGAAACATTTGGTTTCATTTGAAGATGGAATTCTGTATAGAGCCATGCTTCTGTTAATAAAGTTTGAACATTTGAGTGGCTGTTCCATGTTTATTCAGATACATATTAAATTATATCATCTAGAAATTCACAGAAAACCTTGATACCTTATGATTACTGTGCAGAAAGGTTATCTCCTATGCTGGTACTCATGGGGTCACACGGCCATCGTACTGCATGGATGTAGATTACTGGCCTATGGCTCCCAGCTTTGCTGTTGGAGGTTTTTTGCAATCTGTTGCTGGCTTTGTCAGATTCAATCTTGTCTCTCTGTATGAATATGAAAGTCAAGAGCAGCAGAGCCTTTTAACTTGTAGCTGCTTCTCTTCCTCCTCAATTAATTCAGTGCACAGATAGTTGTCACTTGCAATGCTGAAAGCTGTGTGGGAACCCTACTACCCATCAGATGACTGTGACGTGTGACATCATCATCTGCTTTGAAGCAAATATTTTTTCTTCCCCCGCTTGTCACTTCCAGGAAGATAGTTTGATCCATACCTTTTTGACATTGTGTTCAAGAGTGCTAGGGTAGGGGACAAAGGGAGGACAAGGAACACTTTTTAAGAGTCTGGGAAGTTGCAGTCATGTTGCTAGCCAGCGGTCCTCCTCACATTCACTCAGTATTCCCCTTGAGTGCCACTCATGCAAGGATGATTGAGAACAGTGACACATTGACACACTTAAGAGGTAGGCTTGCTGAAAAACTCGACAGTAAAAGTGAATTAAGCTTGATAACTGAAAATGTTGGATGCATTCATTTTAATTTTTATGTGAGGCTGGAAAATATTTTATATGAAGAAAGAGGTTCTGCTTTTTCTTTTTTAGTCAGCCTACCTTTTCCCTTGACATTTTACTTACTTCAAAAGTACATTGTGGGTCGGGCATGATGGCTCACACCTGTAGACCAGTACTTTGGGAGGCTGAGGCAGGGGGATCATTTTAGTCCAGGAGTTTAAGGCTGCAGTGAGCTGTGATTGCACTGCTGCACTCTAGCCTCAGTGACAGAGTGAGACTATCTAAAAGAAAAAATGCCTTAGAAACAAAAATAAGGTTGGGTATGGTAGCTCACGCCTGTAATCCGAGCACTTTGGGAGGCCAAAGTGGGTGGATCATCTGAGGTCAAGAGTACGAGATCAGCCTGGCCAACATAGTGAAACTCCGTTTCTACTAAAAATACAAAAATTAAGCCAGGTGCAGTGGCTCATGCCTGTAATCCCACACTTTGGGAGGCTGAGGCGGAAAGATCACTTAAGTTCAGGAGTTCGAGATCAGCCTGGCTAACATGGTGTAACACCATCTCTACTAAAAATACGAAAATTAGGGGGACATGGTGGCACACACCTGTAGTCCCAGCTACTTGGAGGCTGAGGCACAAGAACTGCTTGAACCTGGGAGGTGGAGGGTGCAAGATGTGGAGAAGGTACCATTGCACTCCAGCCTGGGTGGCAGAGTGAGACTCTGTCTCAAAGAATAAATAAATAAAAATGAGAAAATTAGCCAAGCCTGGTGGCATGCACCTATAGTCCCAGCCACTCAGGAGGTTAAAGTAGGAGAATTGCTTGAAAACCCATGAGGCAGAGGTTACAGTGAGCCGAGATCACACCACTGCATTCCAGCCAGAGTGAGACTCCATCTCAAAAAAAAAAAAAAAAAAAAAGAAAAAAGAAACAAAAATAATATTCTTGTTTCTTCCTTCGGAACATGTAAGTGGAAAGTGAGTGAAGTTCTGTAATACCTGGCAAAGGGAGAGGGAGTGAGAAATCTTTCCATTAAATGTTGCAGGCTGCAGGGTAATTTTTACTGTTAGTAAAACTGACTTTGAAATTTTACTAAAGACCTTAGTGAAGAGGAGTGGTAAGGCTCCATTCACACATTTTCTCACAGTATGTGTCAGTGACCATGTTGCTTTGCTGGGGTCTTTTCAGGGCCAGAGTGAGAAATAGGGAGCTCCATGGGAATGAGAAGCAAAACTCCCACTCACTAAGTCCTTAATATAAAATGTTCTTTTTCTTTCGGGATTTTAAATCTATTTGTTTATTAAAGCCTTAGTGCATACGTATGAGATTACCCTTCCCTTGACATTTATCTTGCTCTAAAGGAGAAATCAAGGACATTCTTCTTGATGTTAAGGAGACGTTTCTACCTAACTGCCAAGTAGGACCAATTGAAAATAATGTCACATGTTAGGAGTCAAGACATTGACCAGACTCTTTAAGAATCAGGTTATCCAGTGTCTTCCAAATCATTTCTAGGGAATGAGACTGTCATTATTCAGGGAACTGTTCCTTCAACTTTCCTATGCCCCACTAAAGGAAAACAAAACAAAACTATATTATTTCAATCAGAAAACAAATTTCTGTTTTAATTCTTCCTTACACCAAAATAAACTAACTCTCGTATTTTCCTTCTAGAAAGAAAACAGCTTTCTTAGGGTTTTGTATTGTCTTGAGTTTTCAATGCAGTGTTGTAGTTCACTGAAGCATAAGCGCCTTAGTTCTGCTCTTATTTTATGAATGGTGAGAATTCCTTTTGGGCCGACCTGCATTTTAATGCTGCAGGCAGATAGCATCTTTCATTCACAGCACCAGGGGCAATGGTTATACAATAGAAATGCTTGAGAATATCTAGGAACTGGGTTCCTAAGGCATGGTGCTGCAGGAGAAAAATATTATAATGAAAAACAGCAACAGAGGAGATTAAATCATTTCCTAACATTTTATTTCCCTTTGTTTCTTTTTGACTTTTAAAAAAGGTCAGTTGATTGGATACTTTTTTCATACACGATGCTGCCGTGGCTTTGTTCACTGAGTAGCCTTTTTCCATATGTTAGGTACTTATGTCACACCATTGTAAATACCTTTTTTTTTTTCTCTTTTGAATCAGAGTCTTGCTCTGTCACCCAGGCTGGAGTGCAGTGTAGCGGCGGGATCTCCACTCACTGCAACCTCCGACACTCAGGTTCAAGTGATTCTTCTGCATCAGCCTCCCAGGTAGCTGGGATTACAGCCGTGTACCACTACACCTGGCTACTTTTTGTACTTTTAATAGAGACTGGGTTTTGCCATGTTGGCCAGGCTGATCTTGAACTCCTGACCACAGGTGATCCACCCCCCTCAGCCTCCCAAAGTGCTGGGATTACAGGGTGAGCCACCGTACCCAGTCTTCCTGTCTAATAAGGTTTTAAACATGCAGCTGTAGCCACAGCTCTGGTGTTTATTAGTTCGGCGTCACAGTCAGTACTGTGAGTGCCATTGCTTAGGCTTAGCCTATAAATACCCACAAATATCCATTACAGAAGCAGGCAAGGGCAGATGTTGTGCTAAGCAGCCCAAGGGCCACACTTGGAACCCACTTAAGAAGCATGCTGTGTTCAGTACCGTAAAACCTTGGCAATTCAATGGCTTCAACAAATGTTCTGTGTAGTAAGTGTTTTTCACAGAAATATTTCTGGCTTGTCCTGGTGATTTCTCTGCTATCTTACCTGAGTCATCAAGAAGAGATTAAATTGTTTAGCTGTATGAACATAGTTTATTAACCAGTGCTGTACAAATAGCTAGAGATGCAGACAAACATGATGTGAGACTAGAGTGAATGACACCTGAGCCCAGCATTCTTAAGAGCTAAAGAAGAGTTCCTGGTGTCCCTCTGTTTTTTGGACTTTTTTTTCCAAGAGAGGGAGGAGGATTAAAGGTTTATCTCCTCAAACCCTCGTTTCTGAACCATGAACCCACATTTCAAGTTTATCTTACATGAGGCTCCTAGAGTGGAATATGGGAAGCCCTGGACACCAGCATGCCTGCCTGCCAGCAGAATGAGTTGATGCTCCGGAGACTGAATGCTGTCTTGCATTTGGCTTCCCTATTTTATTTATACTAAGTTTGTTACTCAGGCTGGAACAGACTATCCTCTTATTCTTAATTTAGGGTGAGCTGTTTCATATAATATTTACTTGAAAGCCTTTGATCCTGCTTTACTTGAAGAAAGAACAGTGAGTCAGCAAATAGCTCTAGACCTGGCTCAGTGAGTGGTGTGGCCTCACTTAGCTTCTCTGGTCTGCTTTATTCTTTTGTGATGGAGTTTTGCCCTGTCAACCCAGGCTGGAATGCAGTGGCACCATCTTGGCAACCTCCGCCTCCCAGGTTCAAGTGATTCTTCTGCCTCAGCCTCCCAAGTAGCTGGGACTACAGGCACGTGCCAGTGAGCCTGGATCATTTTTGTATTTTTAGTAGAAACGGGTTTTGCCATGTTAGCCAGCTGGTCTTGAACTCCTGTCTCTGGTCCAGTTTTATCTTTAGAATGGTTCCAGAATAAATGATTTCACAGGCTTTTTTCAGCCCTGACATTGTGCTAATGTGACTTACAGTTATTTTCTGTAAGTTTTCCTCAAAGTTTTTAAAAATAGCTTTCTAGCAACCTAAAAATTACAGCTGGAAACTGCAATAAAAATAAAAGTTGTACCTTACTCATTACATTTCTTTTCTACAAAGACATCATGTTCTGATTTACCCTTCAGGTGGTAAGGAAATTAGATAAGTCATATTAGAGTTGGCTGCAAAATACTAAGAGGATTCCTAGACAGTAATTTTGCTTTCTTAGAGTGAGTTTTACAGTTGCCCCAAAATAGGATAGCTTTCATATGGCCAGATAATCCTCTGCTCTGAAATAATCTTTTTCTGAAAGTAGTCAACTAGGAGGGGATATTTTAAAAATATCCCATATGTCAGTTTGTATTCCATAACCAACAGTGATTTGTGGGCCACACCATAATAAGTACTAGTCAGGATGCTTTGGTTAGATTGGATGCATCCCATTGTCCTGTTTGTTGAAGGTTTTCACTTCGAGAACATTGTATAGATTTCTACCCAGCTACCTTTATTTGATAGGCCTTAAACTTATGTAGGTTATATCATCAGCAAGGAAAAAAACAGTCCTATGTAAAAGCATTTTTTTTTTAAAGAGGGGCTCACTCTCCCTCAGGCTGGAGTGTAGTGCTGCAGTCATAGCTCACTTATGCGGAAGCATTTAGCACCACTCTTAGTGGTTGTTCAGTAACGTTTGTGGTGCTTTATAGATAAACTATTAAAAACTTGGTCCTTGGCCTTTTCACTCCTTGCGGAATTGTGTGAATTTGTCTTGCTTGCTGGCCCTCTAGCATGACACTTGTTCTCCACTTGTGGAGCGGCGCATGCACTGCATGGTAATCATTTCTACTGAGGACTGTGTAGAGATGCCATTCAGGTAGCTGTGTTAGCCTTTCAGCCTGTGTGTGTTCTGAAAGCTAATGAGAGCCATTTTAAGTGGTTTTTGTCACCCTCCCACCCCCAACTGCAGACTTGTTTTATCTTCTCCCACTTTGTAACTCTTTTCTGAAAAACTGCCTCCTACATGGCTGCCTTGTTGTAAACCTTACTGATGCCCAGTTTCCTTCTTTTATCTGTTTTGTTCTTTGCCTAACTTTGCTAGTTGTTGTTGTTCTTCATCTTTCTTTTCTTATTTTTTTTTAAATTTTAAATCATGCGGTCCTATTTGTTTCACCAAACTCATATACTACTTTGCTTTTGCAGCTGCTACCTTGAGTCTTTACTCTTGCCTTTTTAATGAGTTCCCTTGCCTTTGGTATGTTTTTTATTTTGAGGTGACATCCAGTCATATAATATTCTGAAAGTCCAAGAGATCCAGAAAGTCAAACGCCAGACAACTTAGGGTTTATTGTATTACTCACAGTTCCTTTCTGTGTAGATATTTTGAGATCCGAGAGGCTTCTTTAGTGACCTGCTATATGAGTCATACATTGAACTCTTTGATGAACTATAGCATTTTCCTTGTTAATCACTACTAGCATCATTACAGTCATTTCATTATCATCATCTGACTTTCTAACTTCGTCTCTATGACTAGCATTTTCACCTGCTTTTGCATGTGCTTATATCCGTTTTTGGTACTCCTTTTCCTTCCATTCTTTGACTAGTTAATTCCTACTTGTCCTTCATTTCTCTGTCTGGGCCTCACTCACCTTGATTCACCCATGTTATAGAGACCTATGAATACTCTAATTCTAGCTCTTGGTACACTGTTCCCTTTCTTTTTTTTTTTTTTTTGAGACAGAGTCTTGCTCTGTTACCTAGGCTGGAGTGCAGTGGTGCAATCGCGGCTCACTGCAACCTCCGCCTCCCAGGTTCAAGTGATTCTTCTGCCTCAGCCTCCTGAGTAGCTAGGACTACAGGTGCCTGCCATCACGGCCGGCTAATTTTGTGTATTTTTAGTAGAAACAGGGTTTCACCATATTGGCCAGGTTGGTCTTGAACTCCTGACCCTGTGATCCACCCCCCTCAGCCTCCCAAAGTGCTGGGATTACAGGCATGAGCTACCACACCTAGCCAGTACACTGTTCTCTTATCTCCTATTGTAGCCGTACTCAATCCTCAGACACTACTCTAGCAACACAATTATTCCTAGAAAACTCCAGGTACTTTCCTACTCCACATGCTCACATGGCAGCTTCTGCTCTTCTTTGGTCTCTGTTCACGTGTCACTGAGTCAGTGAGGCCTGTCCTGACAACCTCATTTCAAACTGCTTCCTGAACTGCCCTTCCCTGTCCGTTCTTTCCCTTTGTTGCTTTAGTTTTCTCCAGAGCACTTGCCACTATCTGACATACTGTATACTTACTGATTAAAATGGATTATCATGGCTGGGCACGGTGGCTCACGCCTATGAAATCAGGAGTTCAAGGCCAGCCTAATCAATAATGGTGAAGCCCCGTCTTTACTAAAAAGACAAAAACTTGCGGGTCGTAGTGGTGCCGCACCTGCAGTCCCCGCTACTCAGGAGTCTGAGCAGGAGAATTGCTTGAACCTGGGAGGTGGAAGTTGCAGTGAGCCAAGATCGCGCCACTGCACTCCAGCCTGGGCAACAGAATGAGACTCCATCTCAAATAAAATATAAAATAAAATAAATTAGTCTCCTTACTATGATGTAAATCTTATGAAGTAAGAGATTTTGTTCTCTGCCATATCCATAGGTACCTTGAACAAGGCTTGATATGTAATGGGGTTATATATAATTATTGAATGAATAAATCTTCAGTTACTTGTCTCTCTCCTCAATATATACTAACCTCCTTGAGACCAGGAAACATGTTTTGGTTCTTATTTTATTTATTTCTTATTACTTTTTAAATTTTACTTTATGTCCAGGATACATGTGCAGAATGTACAGGTTACATAGGTATATATGTGCCATGGTGGTTTGATGCACCTATCAACCCATCATCTAGATTTTAAGCCCCGTATGCTTTAGGTTCTTATACTTATGTAAGTGTAAACAATCAGCAAGTGATTGGTAAATTGTCACTTCAGTGGCTCTGTGCCTTCAGATGAGATTTATAATAAACCTTTCTGTTTTTACTGTTGGGTTGTGTTCAGCAGGTTATCGTGTTATGGCAAAATTGTAGTGAAACAAAAGCAGTAAATACCTTTGGGGACTTTATTCTTTTATAGAAGTGATTGTTAGAAAAAGTATCTTGCAGCCAGGCGCGGTGGCTCAAGCCTGTAATCCCAGCACTTTGGGAGGCCGAGGCGGGTGGATCACGAGGTCAAGAGATCGAGACCATCCTGGTCAACATGGTGAAACCCCGTCTCTACTAAAAATACAAAAAATTAGCTGGGCATGGTGGTGCGTGCCTGTAATCCCAGCTACTCAGGAGGTTGAGGCAGGAGAATTGCCTGAACCCAGGAGGCAGAGGTTGTGGTGAGCCGAGATCGCGCCATTGCACTCCAGCCTGGGTAACAAGAGCGAAACTCCATCTCAAAAAAGAAAAGAAAAAGTATCTTGTATTTTGGAATGTTAATATTATCCTTCCTTCTCTAACACACACATACATACAGACAGACTCACTATTAAGGTGTTTGTTTGGGTTTTTTTGAGACAGAGTCTTGCTCTGTCATCCAGGCTGGAGTGTAGTGGCGTGATCTTGGCTCACTGCAACCTCTGCCTCCTGGTTCAAGCAATTCTTCTGCTGCAGCTTCCCAAGTAGCTAGGACTACAGGAGCCCGCCACCACGCCTGGCTAATTTTTTTGGTAGTTTTAGTAGAGTGGGGTTTTCACTATGTTGGCCAGGCTGGTCTCAAACTCCTGACCTCGTGATCTGCCCACTTCGGCCTCCCAAAGTGTTGGGATTACAGGCATGAGCCACCACGCCTGGCCTATTAAGGTGTTTTTATTAAGACTTCAGGATTTATATGTTTGGGGTTGATTTAGTTTTAGGCCTATCTTTATGATTCTTGTCTTACATACTAATAAAAATCTCATCACATTTAATTCTGCCCTCAAAGGGCATAATTTGCTTCTTGCTTTTCTAGCATGTTATGTTAAATTATAAGACTCTTTGCCCTTTTAACTGTGTACTTCCTTCCTTAGGAATCAGAGAAAATCATTGCTGAGTTGAATGAAACCTGGGAAGAGAAGCTTCGTAAAACAGAGGCCATCAGAATGGAGAGGTCAGGAGGGGGGTTAAAATCTGGAAATGTTTCTAAGTTTTCTAGGGAATGTGGATTACTTTATAGTAAGAAAAGGTAAAATAGAAATTAAAATCAAAGAATCTGCCCTTCTAAAACACAAAACAAAACAAAAAATATGGTCAGGGATTTATGGCCAGTTGAATTTATGCTTGTAATATGTCATATGACTCCAGGGAGTCACGTGTTTAATAGTTATTATATGTTGCTAGGGATCCATAAAAAATGGAACATACTGGCCAGACATAGTGGCTCACACCTGTAATCCAAGCACTTTGAGAGGTCAAGGTGGGAGGAATGCTTGAAGCCAAGAGTTCAAGACCAGCCTGGGCAATATAGTGGGACCCTGTCTCTACAAAATATTCAGAAAATTAGACCAGGTGCTGTAATCCCAGCACTTTGGGAGACCAAGGTGGGCGGATCATCTGAGGCCAGGAGTTCAAGACCAGCCTGGCCAACACTGGTAAAAACCCTATCTCTACTAAAAATACAAAACTTAGTTGAGCGTGGTGGCAGGCACCTGTAATCTTAGCTACTCAGGAGGCTGAGGCTAGAGAATCACTTAAACTCGGGAGGCGGAGATTGCAGTGAGCTGAGATTGTGCCACTGCTCTCAAGCATGGGCGACAGAACAAGACTGTTTCAAAAAAAAAAAAAAGTAACTCAACATGATGGTGGGCGCCTGTAATCCCAGCTACTCATGAGGCTGAGGCAGGAGAATTGCTTGGACCCGGAAAGCAGAGGTTACAGTGAGCCGAGATCATGGCTCTGTACTACTCCAGCCTGGGTGACAGAGTGAAACTCCATCTCAAAAAAACAAAAAACAAAAATGTTAAAAAATAAGCTGGGTGTGGTGGCTTATGCCTGTAGTCCTAGCTGCTTGGGAGGCTGAGGCAGGAGGATTGCTTCAGCCCTGAAAGTCAAGGCTGTAGTGAGCTGTGAACTCACCTCTGCACTTTAACCTGGTTGACAGAGTAAGACCCTGTCTTAAAAATAATAATAAAAGGAAATAGGAGCATATTGAGGGATAGAGTCGGCTTCTTTTGATAAAGGCTGACATCCAAATAGCTGTTCTGATTATTGTCTTTCAAAGGTGCCTTCTCGAGAATTTCTTTGGTAAAGAGGTGAAGGAGTTTGGGTTGAAAACTTTTTTGTTGTTGTTGAGATGGAGTCTCACTCTGTTGCCCAGGATAGAATGCAAGGGCACAGTCTTGGCTCACTGCAGCCTCCACCACCCAGGCTCAAGTGATTCTCCTCCCCAGCCTCCTGAGTATTACTGGCGCCTGCCACCACACCCAGCTAATTTTTGTATTCTTAGTAGAGATGGGGTTTCACTATGTTGGCCAAGCTGGTCTCGAGCACCTGACCTCAAGTGATCCACCTGCCTCAGCATCCCAAAGTGCTGGGCTTACAGGCATGAGCCACCACGCCCAGTCTGGCTGCAAACTTAAAAAATCCCTATTCTGTCCTAACGTCTATCACCACTCTATCCTGAAGGTGAGCATAACCCACCTTCTTTTGCTATTAGAATAGACTACATTTGAAAAAGCCAGTTTCTGTTTTTCTTGTTCATGAAGATGAGGCAGAAGTTACTAATAATGTAGTGATATAGTAAACGTAACAAACAGTTTTTTTACTTATTACAGCAATTTTAAGCTAAATTATTGAAACAGGTGGGCAAGGGAACATAACATTTGAGAAAATCACATTAATAGACTATACTCCACATATCAAAATTACTTTCTGATTGCTTCTTAGATTTTGAAGAAGTGTTTCTTCAGGTTGAATTTATAACTTAAGGAATAGTCTCTTCTTTTTTTTTTATATTAATATACATATTACTTATGAATTATTGGCTGTCTCCAAAGTTGGTTGAGACAAAGTTCTTATTTGAGTGAATATAATTAACAAAGCAAGATTTAATTTATTTTGAATGTGATGTTGCTTTTAGAAATAACTTCTCATTAATGATGAGATAAGCACATTATTTTATGTTTGCATTATTGACTTTAAATATGGCCAGTTGTTTTTGGTTTGCAGGCTTTATTTCCCAATCCTTATTAGACTGATTTAATTGACATTTTGGTGTTGGTATTCTGATATACCTGTTTTTTTCCTAGAGAGGCTTTGTTGGCTGAGATGGGAGTTGCCATTCGGGAAGATGGAGGAACACTAGGGGTTTTTTCACCTAAAAAGGTAGGAAACAATGTTATGAAACCTAATCAGACAGAGACACTTTTTGTTTGTCTTTGTTACTGGGGCACTTCATATCTTTCAGGACTTACCCTCTTCCCCCTTTTATGATCTTGATACTTGGCTTAATTTCAGATATTTCTGATTTCATCTTAGAGTATGGTCTTGTAGTACAAAGGCAACCTATTTCTAAAATGCCTATCAGGTTTACTATTTACAAAAGAAAAAACCTAAGGCAGTATATCTGTAACTTTTGGCCATGATTAGTCATCTTTATTTGTTGCTTTCTCTTACATTCCCAGCCTAACCTATCATATTTTGCCTCAGTTTTGGCTACTCTTTGATGTAGATTTTCCCACAGAAGTCATCTACCCTGCTTTATAACTTTTTGGAACCTTTCAGCTTGAAGTTCAGGTTTGTGTAGAATAATACTGCTTCCGTCTGCTTCTGCAATTTGTATTACAGGCAACCATTGTGCTGAGTAAAGAAATTCCTGTCCCTATCCTTCCAGACTCTCTGCTTCCTTCTTAGGTTGTTTTTTAATAAGTGACTCCAATAGTTACCTTCCTACTTACAGAACCATAAAGTAGTGAGGTACCTTTTAGCTAATTAGAGTAGTATTGTTTTGTTTGTTTCTTTGTTTGTTTGCAAAAGAACTTATTGTTGGATACTAGAAAATGATTATCAAATGGTTATTTTGTGTGCTTATGTATCAGAGAACAGGAGAACATATATTGATGTACAAAGCATGTATTTTATGCCACTAGTAAATGGTCCTTTATTTTAAGTAACCTCTGATTAGCTATTGGAGACTTAAACATCTTTATGCGTAGGTTCTGATGATGGCCTCTCTAAGTTAGGATACAAAGGGTGGTGAGTTTTGAATTGGTACTTTTATGTGATATGAAATATTCCTGTGGTTTTTGCTACAATTCTTCTGGGTAAATTTTTCTGTCCTGGTCACATAACTTTTTTTTTTTCTTTTTTTTTTTTTCCAANTTTTTTCCAAATTCTAATGTGTCATTTTTAACAGAAAAGATTGATGTAAAGACATTTGCGTATTGTAGAATAGAACAATAAATATTTTATATGTTTATATTATGAAAGTTTAGTGTTTTTCACAGTTTTAGTAATTTTTTTTTTCAGTAAGACATATATTTATTCAGACGTGTTACTTATGATTGTATAGATTTTAGCAGTTAACAGTTTTGGTGGGTTTTTTGTGTGTTTTTTTGTGAGACGGAGTCTCTCTCTGTCATCCAGGCTGGAGTACAGTGGTGTAATCTCAGCTCACTGCAACCTCCTCCCCCTAGGTTCAAGCGATTCTTCTGCCTCAGCCTCCCAAGTAGCTGGGACTACAGGTGCACGCCACCACACCCAGCTAATTTTTGTATTTTTAATAGAGACGGGGTCTCACCATGTTGGCCAGGGTGGTCTTGATCTCTTGACCTCATGATCTGCCCACCTTGGCCTCCCAAAGTGCTGGAATTACAGGCATGAGCCACCACACCCAGCCGGAACATTTTTACTGTAACAACTTGTGAAAATATGGCATTTAACATGAATCATAAATAACTTGAACAAGTGTTGAGATCTCAACTGCATGGAATTCCAAAGTGAGATCTCTGTTTCCAAAGCTTTTTCTGTAATTTTACCCATCTTTCTACACTTCTTCATGAAAGGAAGGGACATACCGTGACCACACCCAAACTCAGTCTTAGGACTTGTTTCTGAGATTCCATTTTTCAAATCATGACGTGCTTTAAAGAACGCTACCCACAAAGGGCTTTGACTTTCTCAAACCAGTCAAGTTCTTTAACTACAAGGTGGATGCTAGTTGAGGAGATGTGGAGGTTTTTTCAAATTTCTCTTTAACCATCTTTTATAGTCCCTTTTCTTACCCCCCCCCCCATCTGACTCTTTTTTCATTCTTCCACACTTGCTGGCACTCTCTTGAGTAGATTTTGGCCCCAAGACCATGTGACTTATTTTTGGATTCCAGTGGGGTATTTTCACCAAAGAAGGTTGGTTTTTTAAAAAAAAAGAATTTAGAAATATTAGAGTTAGATGAAGAGGATTGTTAGAGGATGTTTATATTATTGAATGTCAGTAATTTTAATTTTTTCTTTAAGGTTAAGACTAATAAACTAAAGGCAATAACTGGGACCATAGAAGAACTGATAAAAATTATACTGGAAAGTGGCAGGGGGTGTATGGGGACATTTTAATAAAAGTACATGAAGAATTAAATATTTCTTGAGATTTTTACTCAGGCATTTAGAAAAATTATAATTATTCCATTCAGCTAATTGGCCCGTCCTAATTTTTTCCTTTTGTTTTGACTTTATCAAAAATTGGATCTTGTTTGTTTTATCCCAGAACTCATGCTTTAAAATAGAATGCCAGGTGAAGTGGCCCACATCTGTAATGACAGCACTTTGGGAGTCCGAGGAGGGTGGATCACTTGAGTTCAGGAGTTTGAGACCAGCCTAGCCAACATGGGGAACCCCTGTCTCCACTAAAAATACAAAAATTAGCTAGGTGTGGTGATGGGCACCTGTAATCCCAGCTACTTGGGAGGCTGAGACAGGAGAATCGCTTGAACCTGGGAGGTGGAGGTTGCAGTGAGCCAAGATCGTGCCACTGCACTCCAGTCTGGATGACAAAGCAAGACTCTGTCTCAAATCAATTAATTAATTAAATTTAATATAATAGAATGCATTGGTTCAGTTTGGGGAGACCTGAAGAGAGTATTTTCTCTTCATTATGGAACCGCAACTAGAGATAAAAACAAATCCCTCTCTAAGCTCTGTGGAGAGTTGAAGGAGCCTGGCTTCCTATAGGCCCCAGTTGTTACCACAGCTCTCTCATGGTGCCCTGCTCCAAACTGATCATCTGTAACCTTTTTCAGACCCCACATCTTGTTAACCTCAATGAAGACCCACTAATGTCTGAGTGCCTGCTTTATTACATCAAAGATGGAATTACAAGGTACATTTCTTTCTTGTTTTGGCCACTTCATGTTTTTTTCCCCTCTTAGATAATTCAGTAACTAAAGAGGTGTTGAAAATTTTAATGTAATGATTTGCTGTATTTTTTGTCTGAAATAGTTACAAACTATCTGCTCTTTCCAAATAATGTGTTTTTGCCAGTGGAACCAGTTAACATGTAGTTTTTCTCTGAAGACCCTAAATAAATTTTTTTCCTTTAACAACTTACATACATTACTTAGGGATTTTATTTCACTCATGCCTTCTTATAATGCTGTATGAGTTACACTGGTGTTTCAGTGTTCCTTGTTTCTTATTCTGATATACAGATGTTGATCATATATGAGGATGGAATTTGTAGTTGAAAGCTTCTAATGAAAAAAGGCAATACCTTTTTTTTTTGTTTTTGTTTTTTTTTGAGACGGAGTTTCGCTCTTGTTACCCAGGCTGGAGTGCAATGGCGTGATCTCGGCTCACCGCAACCTCCGCCTCCTGGGTTCAGGCAATTCTCCTGCCTCAGCCTCCTGAGTAGCTGGGATTACAGGCACGCGCCACCATGCCCAGCTAATTTTTTGTAGTTTTAGTAGAGACGGGGTTTCACCATGTTGACCAGGTTGGTCTCGATCTCTTGACCTCGTGATCCACCCGCCTCGGCCTCCCAAAGTGCTGGGATTACAGGCTTGAGCCACCGCGCCCGGCCGGCAATACCTTTTTTTTTTTTTTTTTACGTACCAAAGGATTTTCTTTGGGAGAAAGAGGTTCATTGTTTGTAATGCTTTCTGTGTCTGAATTTCCCTGGGAAACACTTTCTCTTGTGTTCAGGGTTGGCCAGGCAGATGCTGAGCGGCGCCAGGACATAGTGCTAAGCGGAGCTCACATTAAAGAAGAGCATTGTATCTTCCGGAGTGAGAGAAGCAACAGCGGTGAAGGTGAGCATCCTGGCTGGAGCTTCAGCAACAACTTTTTCATTTCATATTATGAGAAGTCCTTAAGACTTTGTGTTCTCTATCAGTAGTACTTTCTTATACAACCTAATTCTGAAAAATGTAGAAACCTGGACTGCTTGTGAATGCAGAGATGGACAGGGCTACTTTACATGAAAATAGCTTGGACAAAAGAAGCCCTTTTGTTACTGCCAAGAACCGAGCAGGATATAGGCAATTAGGCTTGGTCTTGAATGTTAATTATTTAATAGAAAATCAAGAAAATAACAAAAATCCTGGGTAATAGGAGATTTGAAAGAGATTAAGTCTTAACACAGTAGAATTTATTTTTATCTAAAAGGGAAGAAAAAGTCTTGATTTTTGCCTGGGTTATTAACAAAACAGCAACAATCTAATGATATTTTTGTGTTATATAATTCACTCATTCTTTTATCAAAATACTGGCTTTTTGGCTGGATGCGGTGGCTCATGCCTGTAATCCTAGCACTTTGGGAGACTGAGGCGGGCAGATCACAAGGTCAGATGTTCGAGACCAGCCTGGGCAACATGGTGAAACCCCATCTCTACTAAAAATACAAAAAAATTAGCTGGGTGTGGTGGTGAGCTACTCAGGTAGCTGAGGCAGGAGAATCACTTTCTCCCTGTAGAACCCGGGAGGCTGAGGTTGCAGTGAGCCAAGATTGCACCACTGCACTCCAGCCTGGGTGACAGAGTGAGACTCTGTCTCAAAAAAAAAAAAAAAAAAAAAAAAAAAAGCCTTTCAATCTTAAGTTTCTGGTTATTACCTGTGTCTCATCCTTAACGATTTCTGACGGTTTTGAGTTTTATTGACTGAACTGTCAGAGATCACCAAAACTAATATTTTCTGTTATCTTAGGTTAATCACATAGAGTTAAATGATAGCCTCTTCTATTGAGACTAGTTCTAGTACCCCAAAGTGAACTACTGTATAGACACTTCAGCCGCATGATTGCAGGGATTTATTCTACTTACCACAAATCCTGATAATCAACTGCTTTCCATTGTTTGATTCCAGTGGTTTGTGATGATAACATTAGTTTGTGTTCCTCTTAGTTATCGTGACCCTAGAGCCCTGTGAGCGTTCAGAAACCTACGTAAATGGCAAGAGAGTGTCCCAGCCTGTTCAGCTGCGCTCAGGTGAGACTGGGAGAGGTTTGCCGTCTTCAGCAATGTGCACATGGCTTGTGTGACAACTATAATTTTTGGCTGTTTAAAGGCTGAAGTACTAGCATTAGGATTTTTGTTCTTATAAAAACAACAGCTCTGAAAGCTGTCTTCACATTAGGGAGGGTGAGTTTATTAAATAGATACTATATATTTTAAAAATTATTTCTTAACCTTATTTTTCTATTTTGGAAACCCTATTTTTCTGTTTCTAGGAAACCGTATCATCATGGGTAAAAACCATGTTTTCCGTTTTAACCACCCGGAACAAGCACGAGCTGAACGAGAGAAGACTCCTTCTGCTGAGACCCCCTCTGAGCCTGTGGACTGGACATTTGCCCAGAGAGAGCTTCTGGAAAAACAAGGAATTGATATGAAACAAGAGATGGAGAAAAGGTAATGCACAATTCTGCAGCCCACGTGACTATCTCTTCTTTTAAACACTTAATATTAATAGCATTCTTCAAATAATAGCTCGATGACTTCACAGTTTATTCTTTTTGCCTTTTTTTTTTTTTTTTTTTTTTTTTTTTTTTTTTTTTTTTTTTTTTTTTTTTTTTTTTTTTTTTTTTTTTTTTTTTTTTTTTTTTTTTTTTACTTCTAGGCTACAGGAAATGGAGATCTTATACAAAAAGGAGAAGGAAGAAGCAGATCTTCTTTTGGAGCAGCAGAGACTGGTAGGAGTCCTGAATCCGCTAAACTGTTGGGAAAAGGGCAGCTTGTTCCCATGCTTTCCATGTTCCACAGAGCAGCACTCACCCAAAATGATACCATGTACTATTCTATCATTTCCTTAATGGAGAATGAACTTAAATTTCCTGGTAGCCTTAGCCTGAAAAATAGTCCATAGAGGTATTCTTTTGGACTTTTTATGACTTAAAGCCAAATCTTTACTTCTGTTAACAACCAAATACTTTTTAAGGAAATAGAGCTTTTTTGGTAGCCTTTACCTCTTGATAGTGGTTTTGGAATTTGCATCAGTGGTGGTTCTTTTAATAATTACTCTGAATATTGAATTTGGTGGGAGTTTGCCTTGGTTTTGTTTCTGATCACTTGATAGTACTAATTCTCTGCTCTTGGGCTGACTTTGGGATTGTTCTTACGCTGGGCAGTTTTTTTTTTTTAAGTTAAACTGTGTCCAAACATGTTGCTGCACAGTTGCATGTGTTACTCCTTTCCTGTTCCCCTGCATGGAGTCTGAATTCTCAACCAGGTTCTCAGTGGCATGTGTGGTAGCGGTCGGAGCAGAGGCTGCATACCCAGCACAGGCAGGACAGAAGGCCTGCTTCCTTTGAGGGAGGGAGGATTTGGGTGAGCAGCTGGAAAGTCTGTTTAAGGTCCCAGCTATTGATGTAATACTAATGGCTTCAGCATTTTATAATGGTAATGGATTTCCCAGATTTGATAGAAACTGAATCTCATGAATAAATAAGTTGATCCATTAGTTAGATTTTTTTAAAGCCAACCAATTTTGGTTAACAAAGCTGTGGTAATAAGACCTTCGCAGCATTCATTTGATATGTAAGAATAAAGTATAACTAACCTTTGGTTACTGTGGATGCAGCTTAGGAAGTTCTCATTTTTTAAGATTCATTCATATCTTTTATTTAAGATAAGGCTTCTCTCCTTAGTATAAAATACAACATGTAAATTACAGTCTGATAGTCATGATCTGTGTTTTGGAGAAGAAGGGGCTAGTGCTACGTGGGCCAGAAAAGTGAAGGACTTGAGCAGAAGCAACGTTTTCCAGGGCACCTCATTCTCAGACGTGGGCATGGATTAAACCAGTTAGTTTGTTATCTTGCAAATTCTAATAAAACCCTAAAAAGAATGGATTGTAAGAATAAATCAAGGGTTTGGGGCAAGGTAATAGCAGTGTTACCGACCGAGGCGCATTAGGAGGCCTTTTTAGCATTAAGTTTTTAATGAAAACGGAAAGTACTAGCTACAATGTGATTAGTGGCTTAAAAGGTTTGTGACACACAGAGAAGTCTTTTATCTTAATAATGTAGTACATTCTAATAACATGCCTCTGATGGTCTGTGAGAGATCAAACGAGGACAGATGTAATTAAGCTCTATTATTAACGATAATGCCTTGTATTTGTATAGTGCTTTATAATTTACAGAGAGCATTAACATCCTTCAATTTACTTGATCCTCAAAACAACCCTCTTTGGTAGGTGTATGCATAAGTAAAATATGCAATGTTACCTCCAGTTTATAGTTGAGGAAACCAAAACTTGGCCGGGTGCAGTGGCTCACGCCTGTAATCCCAGCACTTTGGGAGGCCAAAGTGAGCGGATCACCTGAAGTCAGGTGTTAGAGACTAGCCTGGTGAACATGCTGAAACCCCATCTCTATCCCAGCTACTCAGGAGGCTGAGGCAGGAAAATCGCTTGAACCAGAGGTGGAGGTTGCAGTGAGCTGATACTGCGCCATTGCACTCCAGTCTGGGCAACAAGAGCATAACTCTTGTTTCAAAAAAAAAAAAAAAAGAAAAAAAAACTTAGAAACTGATTGAGTAGGTCTGGGTTGGGACCTGAGTATGCATTTCCAACAAGCTTCTAGGTGATGCCAATGATCCTGGACCTGGGAACCTCACTTAGAGTAACTAGGCACGGCAGAATAAGGGTGCCTGGTGCTGTCCATAACCAAGAGTTGGTGATCATTCTGTGCCCTAAAATAAAGATGGCCACTAAATAAAGAGAAAGTGAATGTCTGAGACATATTTAGTTTCTAGGTGGCATACATAGCCTGCAGATAATCAGATTCTGGTTGTTATTTGCTCTTTGTGTGTGAAAGGAAGCCAGGATTTCTAGAGCAGCTCCTTAAAGCAAGGAAGTTGCTTTCCTCTCAAAAGTCTGTCTGTTCCTCTTCCATTTCTTGACTTAAGGGGGGACCTGATTTCTAACACTTTAACCCAAAGAACATCTACTAGTAGTAATACTGAATGGAAAATGTATTTTTATTATCCTGTATTGGTCAATTAACAGATATATTTGTAATGCACCCTGTGAATAAATATTGAGAGAATACAAAGCAATTATTACTCAGCAAATATTTATTTAATATTTACCATATGTAATCATTTTTTGCATACTGTAAGCATTAAACAATGGAATTCAGGCTCATGAGTTTTCTGATAGTTCCCAGATGTATCACATTATTATGGTGCTGAGCATTCCCTTCCAGTTAGTGCTCTTTGATACTCCTGGTCCTATCTGTGCTTGCTTTTTACATACTGTTTTTGGATCTTCCCTCTTATTTGCATAAGTTCCTTGCAGAGTCTCTTTAGGAGACCTACTTTGCATTTGGCATTTAATGAAAGCCGAAGGATCATTTTGTGACATGTGAATTGACCAGACCTCAGTAGCTTTCCAACTTCTTAATGAATGAATCTAAATATTATAAAAATTCGGCCAGGCACAGTGGCTCACGCCTGTAATCCTAGCACTTTGGGAGGCCAAGGCAGAAAGATCACTTGAGGTCAGGAGTTGGAGACCAGCCTGGCCAACATGGTGAAACCCCATCTCTACTAAAAATACAAAAATTAGCCGGGCGCGGTGGCTCAAGCCTGTAATCCCAGCACTTTGGGAGGCCAAGGCGGGTGGATCACGAGGTCAAGAGATCGAGACCATCCTGGTCAACATGGTGAAACCCCGTCTCTACTAAAAATACAAAACATTAGCTGGGCATGGTGGTGCGTGCCTGTAATCCCAGCTACTCAGGAGGCTGAGGCAGGAGAATTGCCTGAACCCAGGAGGCGGAGGTTGTGGTGAGCCGAGATCGCGCCATTGCAATCCAGACTGGAGAACCTGAGGGAAACCCAAAAAAAAAAAAAAAAAAATACAAAAATTAGGCATCATGGCGGGTGCTTATAATCACAGCTACTTGGGAGGCTGAGGCAGGAGAATTGCTTGAACTTGGGAGGTGGAGGTTGCAGCAAGCCAAGATCGTGCCATTGCACTACAGCCTGGGTGATAAAGCGAGACTCAGTGTCAAAAAAATAATAATAATAAAATAAATAAATAAACATTATAAAACATTATTTTTTTGACATGAAGTTAGGATTTATATCACATAAACTTTGCATATAGTTTTTAGTATCACTATCAATATGTGACAGGGTGACATGTTTGAACTATGAAGAGGACATATTCTACAGAGTCAAAATGGCAGTATTTTTAAAAGAAAGAAAATGATGGCTGCTTGATTTAACTTGAGTTGAGTTCTTTTGGATTTATGTAGACTCATATATTTTAGAATTTAAAGATAAATTTTGTCTCTCAAGCATGATATTAAAACAATGCTCAGAATACTTGTCATTTCCTGAATTAGGTAATATTCATTTCACTCTTAAGCAATTTGGAGAGGAAAAGAAAAACAGCCAGAAAAAAGATGATAGTTGTTAGTCATGTGGGAAGAATCAAAGAGAATTTATTTATATTCTGTAAAACTCAGTTTATACATATTTGCAAAAAATCCTCTTCAGGAGTCAGTCAGACTTTTTCCTCTAATATTTATTAATGTCATCTTTATCACTTAAAATTAACCATTCTCGTTTTTAAAACTAAAAATGAAAAATCAGTGTAGAATCTGTATAAATTTAGCTTTACTGCTTTTTCAACTTTTTTCTTTGTTTTTTAAACATCCTGTTACAGCAAGCTTTTTTTTCTCTATTCTTTTTTTTTCTTTTTTTCTTTTTTTTTATCAAGAAATGCTGAGTGTATGATAGAGTACAGCAAGCTATACTGCTTTTTGTTGCTAAGTTATCAAATAACGTGAGAGTCATAGTGGGCATAGTACTCATTTGTAGGTCAATAGAATTATATAAATCAGTGGCAACAGTTTGAATTTTCCAGGCCAAATTATGATGATTATTGTTGAAAGTTACTTTTTGGTTCCTTAGAAAGTGGCTATACAGGCAAATCTTTAGTTTAGCCAGGTGTGGTGATGTGTGCCTATAGTCCCAGCAAAGGCAGGAGGATCACTTGAGTGCAGGTATTTGAGACCGGTTTGGGTCCCTGTCTCAAAAAACAAAGCAAGCAAACAAAAACAACAACAAACTTTTGTCTAGAAGGCAAGGTACTATTTGTCAGTTCCAATTCCTTTAAAAAGCAAACAAACCCCTCTAGAAATATTTTTTGTAACCATAGTGAGTAAAGAGACTGTTATGTAATGATATATTGATATTTACTAGACTATCTTAAACTACTCATCTATGAGTTGAGTTTTTTTTTAAGTGAAAGCAAGTTTATTAAAAAAGTAAAAAAATAGGCTGGGTGTGGTGGCTCATGCTTGTAATCCCGAACTTTGGGAGGCTAAAGCGGGTGGATCACCTGAGGTCAGTCACCTCAGCCAGGCCAACATGGTGAAACCCTGTCTCTACTAAAAATACAAAAATTAACTGGATGTGGTGGCAGGTGCCTGTAATCCCAACTACTCGGGAGGCTGAGGCAGGAGAATCTCTTGAACCCGGGAGGCGGAGGTTGCAGTGAGCTGAGATTGCACCACTGCATTCCAACCTGGGCAACGGAGCAAGATTCTGTCTTTAAAAAAAAAAAAAAAAAGCAAAGCATACCTACCCCAAAGCTATGCCTACCCCATAGGCAGAGCAGCCGAGTATTTTCTTTTCCCAACAATTTTTATCTCTTGAATAGAACGTCTTTCTAATC